TTTCGGAAGGGGAGGGACTTCGCCTCTCCATATTAAAATCAAGGATGCTGGTGCCAACAACGTCAAATTTCATCAGGCACTTGAAAACTCACCCGGAGAGGTCAGTCACATTAACGCATATGGACGGTTAGCAAACATGTTTAGCTCAGCATCAGCTATGTAATGTTAACTTAGCTTGCTACTAGCTTTGTAACTGAATATTTGAAAAGATGAGTGAATGTTTGCTTGTCACACTTGTTTGCGTTGAGTGGCGTTGACATCCAACTCTTGACATGACATAAAAAAGGTCGGTAACGTTAATCATTACATTCCGCTGCCACCATATACTGGCTAACGTTAAACGTAGAAAAATACATAGTTACATACATAAATACATCTGTCGGTTTATAGGCAGGTTCAGGGTCGGCTCTAGAACAAATCGAATGGGGGGGCAATCATTTACCAAGGGGGGGCACACACTGCCGTCAACAACCAACACACAAACACCAACGCAACTTCAATTTAAAAAAACATGCTGTAAAGTCTATTGTCTTTCACACACATTGCAGGGGTGTATGTGCTATTTCCTAGCGCACCTATGACTTGTGCAGACATGCACGGTTGTGGCACAACCACCAAAACAGAAACATATGGACATAGGCCACCATATGAAAAGTGTGCAAATGTATTTTGTATCCTATCCATGTGAACATGTTTTAGGTGGGGGGTGGACCTAACCTCCTCTAGGAGGGTCTGGGGGCATGCTCCCCCGGGAAGATTATTTTTAAAATATTGAAGTTAAATGCATCAATCTGGTGCACTTTGAGAGCAAAATGAAGAGATCTATGGATAGCCTACATCTCTCAGCATCCATATGAAACAGAACTGTACAGATTTACTTTTTCTTTATGGATATTTTACTAATCACTCCCCTTTTAAACTGTATTCTTGTGTTACTGTCCTATAGTATTTCATACCCGTTTTTCATTTATTCTCTTATTTTTTTAATAACTAGGCTATAGGCTAATGATCATATACATGTGTTCCTCGCAAATACTTGTTTACATAAATGGTGACCAAACCGTTTGAGACCCACTGAGATAACTTACACTAAAGTGAACTATCTAAACACTGAGAGTCCTTACCTCACTGAGCTGACGTTATAAGATCCTCTCAGTCTGACAGGAGAGGACTCTCCTCCACCTTGGTGTAGAAACAGCTCTTTATATCTGTTAGCATAGCCAGCTAACCAGATGCTAACAACAACATTCCATGTTACCGCTCGCGCACTCACAAAATGCGATCGTGCCACACACACAGAGAGCCGAGCTTGAATGAAACACATAGACCCAGAAGTAGGCTACTTGTACTGTACTGTATATCATATTATTTTCGATGGCTTTACTGTATAATCAGTGTAACAGATGAACAGATTGCCACCGGCTTTCATCTAAAACACACAGCCACGTAATGATAACAAAACAAAAGTCGGGGGTCATTGATCAAGCAACACACCAATCAGAGAGCAGCAGTGAGCACACCTCAGGCTGTGTTTTATATTTGTATTCTTTATTTCTGATGTATTTCACACAAAAAACCTTTAGTGGAAACGTTTTCACTTATATGATTAAAAAAAAAAAAAACGGCAAAGTGGCAAGGCTTGCCCACCCTGCGTTGGGGGGCACAGTGACTCATTTGGGGGGGCATGGCCCTCGAATGACCCCCCATGACGCCGACCCTGGGCAGGTTACAGGTTTATTGTTGACCACGTAACGTTAATGTTACAGGTTTATCAGGTTACCATTACACTGGGTTTGAGTGAGAGGATAGAGGAATATGTTTATTTATAGTAGACTTAAAAGATGTAATTAGAGACCCAGTGTAATTAAACAATACGGTTGCAGAGGTCAAATTTTAACATTTTTGTCCACTGGCCAAATGGCTAGCCTAGTGAATGTTGAAATGTTACCAGCCACTCAATAGATTGCCATTGTTATGTTTGGCTGGTGCGTGCAACATACAGTACCAGCCACTTGCATGATTTACCAGCATTTGGCTGGTAAATGGTGTTAATGGTAAATATCTCTTTTGGAACAGGTCATGTTTTAATATCACCAGTTCAGTATATTTCAGATAATATTGCAGCAATAGTTTTTTAGTTGCAAATGGCACAGAACAAATGTATACTTTTAAGTACTTTTAACACAGTTTCCCTGCGGGGGATTAATAAAGTATTTGTGATACTGATTTTTGATTCTGAAGTGTTTTGCTTATAAGTTGTTTGCATTTAGCTAAAGTGTGATGTTTTTCCTCATATTGCATTGCAATAGCCTGTTTAAAGTGATCATATAACAAACAACTAATCAGTACTGATACTGTGTGCTAATAGATATAGGAGTGATAATAATACAGCAAATGCTTTGAATTTCTTAGATATAGCTGTGCAGTATTCTTAACAGACTGGATAGCAGCAGACAATAGAAGGCTTATTACAACCAGAAGAGACATGAGACTTTTATTTTTTAGAGACTTGAGACTTGACTTGGACTCGTGACCAAAGACTTGAGACTTGATCAACTCTCACCCCACAAAGACTTGAGACTTGACTTGGACTCGTGACCAAAGACTTGAGACTTGACTTGGACTTGCAAAAAAAGACTTGTGAACATCTCTGCACTAAGGCAAAGCATTTGACTGTATGTTGTGAAGGACTCGGCACATATGTATTCGTATATGAAGATGTTGACCAAAACAAACCACTCAACGTTGATATTGCCAAATGCCATTTCAAATAAATAGTAATTGATATAAAAAATTACTTTATGTTTGCAGAAATATAACTCTTGGCCTGGTCAAAGAGAAAAATAAACGGTGTATCTGTTTTTAATTTTTAAATGTGATTAAACTTAATATTAAACATCTATTATTTCTGTTCAGTGTAGACAAAAGGACAGAAAGACCGACTGAATTTAGTTGAAGGAGTTGGTGAATAAAGTGCCTCCAGTTCCCAAACTGCATCAATAATGTCATCGATCGTCTAGTCTGACTCTTATTCCATAGTGCCATTACCTTAGTGTCTTCTCTGAACATACTAGAGTGTGTGTCCATAATGGGCTGAATGGAGGTTCAAGGCCGTGGAAGTCATCTAATGGGTTTATATTTACCATCCTGCCCCTCGAAGCTGCTCTGTTTGTTCCATTAGAAAAACAGAATACAACAGAAGTTAAGTCTATGTCGTGATTATAAAAGAGGCTTGATATCAAGCCAACAAAACTTCAGTTCTTCTCAAGTTTTAGCTATGTACCAAAAGTTTACGTTTTGCACATTTATCTAGCACAACAAAGGAAGTATGAGCACTTAGATATGGTCCAAGTATTTTTTCAGAATAACCTTGAAAAAAAGACAAATACATTTATTTTCTTACTTATAGATGAGAGTAACACCTACGTCACTTCCGGGCAAAAATTACGGCCCCGCCCACTTTTGGGGGAAAACAACGCTGTAATTTGAATGGCGGTCAATACAAATTCTGAAGTTGTTGCCAATCCGATCAAATTTTTTTGAAAACCGTGGATTTTTGGATCTTCAAAGAGCTCGATTACGATGGCCAGTCAGGCAAACAATTACATTCGATCATTGGAAATCGACAATCAGTCTCGATATATGGTTAAATTAAAATCAGTAGGCGAGCCTGTAATTTCTCCAGCTGTTACTCTCATGAGCGAGGCGGAACATAATAGTTTTAACATGCCAAAAAGCTGCTACTTAAAAAATAATCAAGAGTTCAGTGTTTCTGTACTTCCTCTAAGAAGAAAGGACAGTAACAGAAGAGCTCTGTGGCTTCAGGCTCGATCGCCATTCAAATGACAGCGTTGTTTCCCCCAAAAGTGGGCGGGCCGTAAAGTCACGTAGATGTTACTCTCATCTATGAAAATCGATCGCCTACTGCTATATTTAACCATATATCGAGCCCGATCGTCGATTTCTAATGGCTTAATGCAATTGTTTGCCTGTCTGGCCATTGGAATCGGGCTCTTTGAAGATCCAAAAGTCTCCGGTTTTCTTACATTTCTGATCGGATTGGCAAAAACTTCAGAATTTGTATTGACCGCCGTTCAACTGACAGCGTTGTTTTCCCCCAAAAGTGGGCGGAGCCGTTATTTTTGCCCGGAAGTGACGCATTTGTTACTCTCATCTATGCTGCGTTCACACCGGACGCGATGCGAATATTCGCTTCGCCCTAATCGCTCTTACGGCCTGTCCACACAGCGGCGTGCGCTTCACTATTCACTTTGAATGGTGTGACGTCACTTTTTGCCGAACTGCATTGTGGGAAGCGACGCAGAGCTTTGCTGGCTCGCGGCAAATGTTGAGCAATGTTAAACTTTTGACACCTCGGCAGAAGCGTCAGCCAATCGAATCATATGCCAGTACAAGCTTTAGCCAATCAAACCGCTGCTTGTGTGTCAGGGGCGGGAGATTCATGTGATTGGTTGTTGGTCGAGTTTCAGACACGCCCGCCGGCAAGCTTCGCATCGCATCTAAACCATGGATGTATAATAAGAACGATCTAAACGCTCGAGTTTCACCGCGGCTGTCAGCTGTGTTTACTCGCATCGTTCAAACAAGACGCGCTGGCTCGGGGGCTACAACTACAACAAAATTAACATATTTCACCTCGTAATACACATTTCTGAATGATGCCGAAGTAACAACATACTGATGCCGGTTAGTAAAAGCCATGAATTAATGCTTGACAAGTCTGCAGACAAGACGGCAGGAGAAAAACCTTTTAAAATGCTTGTTTTCTGAATGGAGATTGGATCGACCAGGCTAAGCTAACGTTGTATATGCTCCGTCCACACTCATAACAACGGCCTACAGACATAAATAAACCAGCGACTGTATTCGCCATGACACAGACAATCTGTGGTTTGTACTTGTTTAACTTTTGTCCAGTTTCTGAACAGATATGAGGAGCTGTGAGCTCTGTGTGCTAACTGCTAACGGCTGATGTTTTCTGGTTGAACATCAGTGACGGCAGGCTGAGATCCTCACCGCTGATTGGCTAGCACGAGATCGCGTCACGCGAATATGATGCTCGAGTTGAAAGGCAAGGGTCAGCACATGGTCAGCACAGAGAGTTGACATTTATAAATATGTTAGCTAACGTTCTCCAGCTAGCGTTCTCCAGCTAACGTTCACCATCTAGCGTTCTCCAGCTAACGTTCACCAGCGAGCGTTCTCCAGCTAACGTTCGCCCGCTAACGTTCGATAGCTAATGTTCGCCAGCTAACATTAGCTTAAAAACTATTTAGAGCTTTTCACAAATGTATTATAAATCATCAATGACGTTTTTTTCAAGCTATAATAAAGTTTATTTGGCAAGTAAATGTGGATAAAGCTGGTTACGTTAAGCAGAGTAAGCGCATTTCAGCATTTAAGTGGAAGGAACACAAAAGTATGTGTCCCCTAGTTAAGGGGAAAAAAGGGTAAATCACCTTTTTTCATTGTTGGTTTGTTTCCACACACAAAACAATTATTATACCAGATCCAAGGTTGGAACGGGTCGTTTTTCAGACACTGTACCACTTATAGCCAAGCACTTCCATTGACAATGTATGAAAGGTTTAAAATGAAGGCTGCTGGGTTTGTTTGTTTTTTAAACGTGGGTCCTTATTAAAAACTTAAAGAGAGGCTCCTCGTGGACACAGAGCATTGATAAAAAGATGTTCAACCTTTTCCCCGGTGGTCCGTTAAACAAGTCAATCCCCTTCAGATTGATCACACGTCACACAGAGGCCCTAGACAAAGGGAAGATGCTACGGCAGGTGAGTCTGGGTGTAACTGTACACTCTCACCCACATGTCTGAAGCCCCACTTCCATCCTCTGACAACATGTCGGTTTGGTGTTAATCTGTCTGATGCGTAGTTTGACATTTAACAAGTAGAACATTGGATGGAGATTTTCATGGTGTGTTTTGTGTGCCATTATGTCTTTGGAGTCTGCAGTCTCGACAGGGTTTTGGTGTTTGAAGACAGGTGGGTTTGGCACACAAATAAACAACATTTGCATTATGAAACATCAGTGTAGATGTATCAGGAATGTGTTAACTGCCAATCCCAGACGCGTCAAATGTCAAAATGGTTGCCATTGACGTACAACGAAGAAATCGCAGAGCAAGAGACCTATATCCCAAGAGATTGATACTGGTAGTTACTTCCAACAAACCATTACGTCCATTTTGATGGTTGGGTCAAACTTGCACATGACTTTCACCCAGGAGATACCTGCTCGTGTCCCATTTGTGAGCTAGTTGTTTTTCCTGTGTGATGTGTCTTGTGTAATGCGAAGTGGTCACGTTACGATACATCACTAAGTCCTGTGTCATTACATCAGGAGTTTTTTTGACCAAAACCCTAAATGTTTTTCTTGCCTTAATGTTGGTGCCTAAACCTACGCAATTCTCTCACATCGTTATTCACTTGGTAATATTGTGCGTTTCTGCATTTGAGGCTCATGTGAAACTTTTCTAAGATTTATTTACCTAAATCAAAGAAAACAAAGTGCCTGGACGGTGAAATACTCACAAAGCACATTAAATCTCTGCTGTGGCCTTTCTTTCCATCCGTAAAGATATTGTATACATTTCCTATTGTTGAACCATAGGAAACGTATTCCTCAACTATAGAGAGTTACAGGTAGAAAATAAACTGTGTGGTAACAATAGGGAACAGATGTGAGGAAGGAAGCCTTTACTTAAAGTGTGTTTAGAGCATTAAAACCTGTCACTCAGCCTGATGCAAAAAGAAAAAAAACGTATTTATTTTAAATAATGGGATTTCATTTTTATATATCAATTGGCTAACCATGATATAATTTTCTAAACAAAATATTGACACAAATATATTTAGTCTCTGCCTTAATAAACTACCCTTAAATGAAAATGAAATAAATCGGTAAAGATACATTTTAAGTTAGTTGATGATGATGACGATGATGAGGATGATGATGAGGATGTTGTTGTGTGGTCGGGGGAACCGGAGGTATAATATTTCAGTACAACGTCATCTGTGAGAGTGTGTGTGTGTGTGTGTGTGTGTGTGCGCGTGCACGTGCGCACGTCCTTGGCTGACAGGATATAAAGTCTCCTGGTCAGATGCAGAGACAAAGGTTAAGGAACAACAGAAGTCTCTGCCCAACGAACGACAATCAGCAGCGAGAGAAGACAGCGTGGTGAGTATCTTCATTTTCTGTTCATATAATATTAATTTAACCCCATTTTATCTGCTTTTTCTGGGTTTTCATTTAAAAAAATAATTAGGAAGAAATAATATTCAAATACACTTACCATTAAGAGCATAGGATGTGAAATATCCTATGTGAATAATCACAAACTTAACATGTTTTTGAAACAATAACGGCGTGTGGCGCAGTGGTTAGAGTCCTGGTCTGGGGATCAGATGGTCACAGGTTCAAACCGGTTCAAACCCCCTGCAGTCAGCATGTCGTTGTGTCCCTGAGACACTTCACCCCAAATTGCTCCTGTGGGGATTGTCCACAGTATTGAGTATGTTAGTCGCTTTGGATAAAAGTGTCTAACAAGTGACATGTCATGTAATGTAATAACTCAACAGGAAAAATCATTTTGATTTTGGAGAATCTTCGATCCGACAGTTTAAAAAAATAAATGTTCATCATATGTATCAATGTACAATACAACAATGTATGTATTGTCAACATACATAACATTCTCTCTAATTTGTCATTTAAATTATTACAACTAAGTCATTTGTGATCTTTAAAAGAATACATTTTTGTGATTATAAAAGAACATTTATGGCTATGAAAAAGCAAATATTTCATGACAAATAAATGTTTAATTTTCTCATCTGAACAAAAGGAGGACACTGAAAGCTACCATACATAGGCAAATATTATTTATGAATGTATATTTAGAAAATACTACTATATTATTATAATCTGGCATTTTCTTATGTTTTGTTTAAGGAATGCTTTAAAATGAAGTTGTTAAATATATATTTTTTTCATTACCAATATAAGTATTTGTAGGTATATTAGTTACTGTATGTATGATTTATTTATTTACATTACATTACCTTGGTAACTACAAACTAAAGCCAAGCAAATTAAGTTGATTTTCATTTGACTGTATGCGTTGTAAAAGTGAGGTTTTTATTTAGTCATTTCTGCACTGATAAGAGTTTGTAATATTTGTGTGGCTGTCTCTGATTGGCTGGCAGGGAAAATGTGTCCTGCGTGGTTATTAGCGGCTGTGGCGCTGGTGGGCGTGGCCAGAGGAGCTGTCAGTCAGTGCTGGGAACATCCGAGCTGTCAGGAGATCAACTCTGAGAGTAGCATCATGGTAACACACACACACACACACACACACACACACACACACACACACACACACACACACACACACACACACACACACACACACACACACACACACACACACACACACACACACACACACACGTCTGTATAGTGCAATATCTCTTTATTTGGATAATTAAATAACCGGTGTTGGAAGAAGTACTCAGATCCATTAATGGAGTAAAAGTACAAATACTATGGTATAAAAATACTCCATTACAAGTAAAAGTTGTGATTTCAAATGTAAGTAAAAGTACAAAAGTAAGCATCAAAATATACTTTAAGTAGAAGAAGTAAAAGTACTTGTTATGCAGAATGGATATTTCTCACAGTATTATATTACTATTTCATCCTGTTTTTATACATGTAAGAGTATTTTAGTATTGTAGATTGGAAACTTTACAAAATTAGGATACCGTGTAGTACAGTAGTGCATTATACTAAATCAGCATATCATGTGTTTTTTCTATGAACAAAGTAACTGAGTGTTAAATAAATGTTTTTAAAAGTACAATATTCACCTCTGAAATGTAGTGGAGTAGATAAGGTATAAAGTAGCATTAAATGGAAATACTCAATTGAAGTACAAATATGTACAAAAAAGTACAATACTTGAGTAAATGGTACTTTCCATCACTGGTAATTACCTTTATCCGGATGGAAGATGTTGCCATATCACCCTTTCTTAAGATACAGTAAACTCTCCTCTCCTCTCCACCTGCAGGAGTGTATCCAGCTCTGTCGCTCCGACCTCAGCGCCGAGGTGCCCGTCGACTCCCTCCTCCACCCTCCTCCTCCGTCAGACCCTGTGTCCCTTGCTTCCCTATCCCTCTTATCCTCCACCTCCTTCCCCTCATCCCCTCAGGCCAAGCGCTCCTACTCCATGGAGCACTTCCGCTGGGGGAAGCCTGTTGGCCGGAAGCGCCGCCCAGTCAAAGTGTACACCTCCAATGGCGTGGAGGAGGAGTCAGCGGAGCTCTTCCCTGGGGAGATGAGGAGGAGGGAGCTGGCCAGCAGGATGATGGAGGCAGCAGAGGAGGGTGGGAAGACCCAGGAGGAGGCAGAAGAGGACGAGGAGCTGGTCCCCGGGGACGTCCACGAGAAGAAAGACGGCACCTACAAGATGAGGCACTTCCGCTGGGGGGGCCCGCCGGCCGTCAAACGCTACGGCGGCTTCATGAAGAGCTGGGACGAGCACAGCCAGAGGCCCCTGCTCACACTCTTCAAAAACGTCATCAACAAAGATGGACAGCAGGAGAGGGAGCAGTGAGGGGGGAGGAAAGGGAGGGAGGAGGTAGAGAGAGGACGGATACTAAACACACATTGATTGTCACTGCCTTCCAAACAGACCCACTTTTCTGATTCCCTATCAGCAGGCAACCCTGCCTCCTAGAAATTACACCAATGCAACAATACGTTTTTTAATATCAATTCATCTGTGTCTTGATCATAGTTAGGTCTACACAATGTCACACAGTCTAAATAGACCTTGTCACATTTCTTATTGGGTCCAAAACCAAAACATATTCAGTTTGCAATGATATAAAACTGAAAATAGCAGTAAATGTGCACAATTGAGAGAGACTCTACAACTAGGAATCTTGTTTGCTTAAAACATATTTAAATAGGGATTTGACTGACACTAGTTGTAGATCATTAATCTGGTGGAGACCCTGAGTCCTGCAAAAGCTCAGCTTCAGAGGCACTTTGGCACTAGGTGATTTAAAAACAATTGTTAACAGATTTCTTTTTAAAATAAGGTAATTTTTCCAAATGATTGAGACATATTTCCCCCTCCCTTTCATTAAGCGTTGTGTGTGACTTCACATACATGTTTTACAACATGTTGGCTGTTGTACAAAAGTCATTTAATGTAACGTAATTTCTAAGATACAGGGTGAGAATAAGAAGGCATCGGTTGTCAGTGTCTTCTAAATCCGTTTGATTCATATAGATGGTTGTTATTATTGTTGTCATGATTGAATGTTTACTCTCAGAAGGAAAACTAATGTTCATCCCGCTGTCATTCTGCCTGTCAGTCACTTCACCGCAGGGACTGGCATGAGAGAGTCAGAAAGAGAGGAACATGTTTTATACATTGATTTGTGTAAATAACTGTAAATCAAATGAAAACATAAAGGGATTTGCAAGCAAAACACGAGAGATGTTTCCTTTACTGTCTGTCATGACTTTTACATGTGTGTAGTAGCATAACACGTCCACAAGAGGGCAGCACCGGATTCCAGCTGCACACACGAGAAGAAATATAAATGGTTTTAGTTCTGACTCTTTCATAAGAGTGTTTTCATACTTTGTGTCACTATAAGAATTGTAAGCCATTCATACTGAAATTATGAAATCCTTACCTGACCCTGAGGCAAACTGTTTTCAACAAAGCCAGCAATATATCACTGGATTTATTCTTGTTATTATATATATGAACATATAATCTTAACAAAATTAGGGGAGATACTAAATAGTGTTTTAACTAATAGATAAAACCATAAAACGTATAAAGAAAACATATAACAATTGCTTTTTTCTGTATTTTGCATTTATTTCATTAACAGAAATCTGGACATTGGGTAAAGCCAGGTTTCAAATTCTTGTTATATTTTGTTGACTTATTAAAGTGAATAGGAGTTATTTACAGAGATAATTTTAGAGAGATCGTTGCATAACCCTTAAATGACGAAGGAATAAATCAGAACATGTTATCAACAGTAAAATAACAAGCCTCTTCCTGATATAGATAAGAATGAATGTTGAATAGTGGTGTATAGTGCTACTGATAGAAGTTGCCACCTGGTATTCAGGAGCAATAACCATTCATACTCATGGGTTAATAATTGGGGGTTCATTATTTTGCCCAAAGACATTAGCGGGCCATGGATTGAACCATCAACCTTTCAATGGAGGACAACAGCTCTACTTCCCAGAGTCTGAATGTCTAATTAAGATATGAATGCAGGATATCATCTTGACCAGCAGTCTTTATATTCAATTTGAGACAGTGGCCAAACAGTCTGATCTGTCATGTGATGCCATACAAATGTAATTCCTAGGATGCAGCCTTTGTAATGTCTAGAAGCGCTACATGATTGAATGTTCATGTTAGCATATCTAATCAGGAAGTCAGATTGGGCAGCAAAAGTCTTGGGCACGCTTGATTTATGGGCACTATGGATGTGGTAGATTACTGTAAAATCCGTGCATTTTTATACCTTGTCACTATACTTGATTTTTTTTTTAGCAACTTCCATGTGAACCGGGTTCTGTCTCCAACCAGAACTCTCTATAATACATCCATGGTATGTGAGAAGCGAGCAATTGTCATTTGACTGAATATGCGCCATCTTTGGGTCCAGAGTTCAGTTCTTATTTCACATCCATGGTGAGTTTGTGTGCGTCCATGTGTTTCCATTACAATAGCATTCATAATTGCAGCTCTAATCAAGCAATGTTCTGTGTAAATATCCCAATAGGCACATTTTCTCTTGGTAATTGTACTGATGTTAACTCTTCACCTGGACTCTGCATCTTCTTTTCTCACCTGACATATTATAACCTCAAGCAACTGCTGCCACCCCTCCACACTTGGTCACACAGGCCAATGTAAATATTACCCTAACATATTCTTATAGACAGAGAAGGATGCACAAATAAACTTTGATTTCTTTATTCCAACTGTCCAATCCAGCTCATCAAAGGGCTTCATACATTTCAAATGTTTGCATTGCAAATGTTTGCATTTCAGTAGTTTTCAGCCAAATATGAATTATTTCTACTTGAGTAATAGGATATGTTCTACTTTTACATTTTGGTTAAGGTAACACCACTCAATATTTAGCCTAGAGTGCCTACACTTATCCTTTATAATATATAACTTCCACACCACAGTGGATCAGTGCACTGATCGTGCTGCTGGCCTGCCCCCTGCTGCTCAGAGGTGTAACTGCTGCTCAGACTCCCCCAGAGGAAGGCACAGGTCGCGGTGAATCACCCGGAGTCTCCCCCATCACAGTCGGATCCAAGGCATCTCAAAGTCCCGCTGCTTGGTCTACACTGCTGCTTATCAGCCGGCCGCTAACAAACAGCTTTGTCTGGGAACAAGCCAAAGGAGTCAAGGACACAGCGGCCCTGCTGCAGGGGGGGAGGAGAGGGGGTATGGCAACTGGGAGTATAAAGTGAGGAGGCTGCGCTGGTGGAGCAGCACTGACACTGAGACACTGAGAACTCTGCATCAATCTCCGAGGACGAGCACAGAAACACTTTGCGAAGGAGATACACTGGATATTTTTCACCCTCCTGGAGGATTATTCATTTTTGATAAATACTTTTGTTTTAAAAAAGCCTACAAAAATGGATGTATACATTTTGATTTCCGTTGTGTCAATGATGCACTCCTGGACTTTCAGCGCAGGTAATTTTTGCGTAATTAGTTGTTTGTTTGTCTTGTGCTTTTCCATTTAACTATTTGTGCATATACACTAATACATATATTGTATAGTAATATTTGGATTCAAATCATGTCAGTTAAACTATATCTCTGCACAGTGCACAGTAAAGCCAACGCATCTGCAATGTTTCTGTTATATGAATCGTCCTGACATAAGGTCGGCTTAATATCTGGTACGCAGTGTTTTGATAATTTTGATTTCCTTACAGTGCTATCAGCTCCAGCTGCACAGACACCCTCCGCCGACTCGCAGAGGCGCCATGTGCGGACCAAACGCTGCTCCTGCGCCACTTTCATGGACAACGAGTGCGTGTACTTCTGCCACCTGGACATCATCTGGGTCAACACTCCTGAGTAAGTCTACATTCACGGATTCCATACTTTCTCCAGCAACATTAGCATAGAATCAGACGTTTTATTATCGGCAATTGGCGAGTTTAGAAAGCAGTATTTCAGTCTTTTGGAACTTGGCTCGGAAACTGAAGGGTCGCCGGGTTCGAGTCCCGATCGGACCTCTTAGAAAGCGCGGACTTGCATGTGTATCGTGTTTGTGCATGTGTTTATTCCGGGCTTTCTTTGAGTGCGATTAACATAGGCCTCTTAGGCTATAAGAGTTTTAATCTAACTCTAAAAATGAAGTGCGAAATTCAGAAAGCGAAAGGATTATTTTTGACAGCTTAAACCCTAAACACAACGCTTTTAAACTGAATAGTTTTGAACTTTAATTTCAGTTGATTAATTCTCATTCCTTCTTCTTCCTCCAGGCGCGTGGTTTCATACGGACTGGGCAACAACGGTCCCAGGAAGAGGCGCGCGGTCGCGGAATCCATAGCAACCAGCAGCGGACCCCTGCGCTGCAGGTGTGTCAATCAAAACGACGACACGTGTAGAAACTTCTGCGGACTGGAAAACCTCCTCAGGTAGGCTTTGTCATCTATTTTCAACACAGCTCCCGAAAAAACAATAATACTGCGAACACTCATCATATTTACTGTCAGGGTTACTAATCGCACGAGCGCTTGTTTCCAATACGTGAAAACAAGTTCCGTGTCTTAAATGTAAAGTGTGGAAAGTGTCCGGGATGAATAAATGACATGTGGTCTCTCTCCTGCAGGTCTGAAGCCTCCCTCACGGAGACTCTCCCCGCAGAGCGCGATGCTTGTGTCGGGCCGCAGTGCGAGCCCCGGCTGGCGGCAGACACCGGGCGGATTACACGGTAAAAAAACAGGCTATAGGCTACCTAAAGTGTATTTGCTAAATAAGTGCAAGTGGTAATTAGCCTATTACCACACGCAACACTGAGGTATTGTGAGGCAAAAATATCTCAGTAAATACAGGAAGCATTTAGATGTTTTACTTCAATAAAAGTCTGTTACAAGTAATACAAGTAGCCTATGCATTTATTGTCTTAAGTAAAAGTTAAAAAAAACAAGCATAACAAAAGCACATCATTTAAAAAAGACCCCATTTCAGAATCATATTTTCTTATAACAAGTGATGCATTAATCAGTTTATAACTTAAATGTTGCAGCCTGTTAATGTGTACTGATTTTCATAATACTGCTGCAAAGCTTCACATATATATTGCACATATTAACTTTTTGCAAAAAAAGCTTTAAATCAAATACAGTGGCGTAGAAAAACGTGTGCCTTTTAGATGTATAAAGTACAAACTTCTAAATTGTGATTTGATCAAGTACTTGAGTAAATGTACACGGTTACATTCCACCACTGATCGCAGTGTACATATTTTTTGCTTGAGAGATGTCATCATGGAATTTTGAGAATAACCCCCAAGCAAGGAATTCCCAGCTTGACAAGCACAACCATAAATTCCACCTAACCTCTCAGACTGTGTGCAATTGAATGCTCTGTATCTCAACATGAGAGTAATACAGAGATACCCTCTGAGCAGCATGTGCCATCATGTCTGAAACTCGCCTCTCAAAGTTTGCGGCGCCATCCGTCTGCACTTCCTGACACATTCATAATTCTTCATAAAATTCGGACACTTAGCAGCTTAAATATGAGTGACAGCTCAAATCCACCCCGCTAGGTTGACTTTTTCCATAAGCTGAGGGATCGATGGTTCAGATGTCTGACTGTTATCTGTCTTTGTTTACAGGATGAGGAAAAGAAACAATAAGAAACGGGTGTCGCCTCTAGCCATCAGGTCTGCCCTCAAAACACGTCTGCTGCTGGAGAAGTGGAGGGTGAGACAGCACCACAGGGGGAGAACCTGGGAAGGGGAGAGCAGGGCCCCCTAAACACCACAGACCCTCCTCCGCACCAGAGGGGAAAAAGGGTTCCCAACTCTAAAGCCAGTGGATGACAATGAAGAGCCCAAAGAGGGTCGAAGACAGTTCTCTTCGTGGTGCCAGAGCAGAGACATTTCTCTATCAGTGGCGCTTCGTCAGACAGATGAACGAGGTCAGAGACAATACAGGGAGTTCAAGAGAAAGAAGAGAAGCGGACGGAGAAATCAATGATATTCATTGATTGTATTGCTGTCACGGTCACTCCTTCAAAACCTTATCAAATAGCATTTCAACTGAGTCAGAATCACTGCTGTCCTGCTCATTGTACTCCACAATGCAATCATACAGTTGCAATAACAGGTTATTACGCCTACATAGAAGGGATTATGTGACTTGACACTTTTTCACCGACTGAAACTATTCAGTGCCTTTGCGTAACAGGTAGTCTCCTGCCTGCCAGGTCTTTGTAGCTGTGAAGTGCAGTAGCTGCTGGGAGTCTTTCATGCTCATGTTATCGGATTTCTATACATGTCATAATTTAAATATTTTTCACGACATACATTCTATTTATTTATTATTTTCTACACATTGCAATGGGATTGCCATGTTGGCACGTCACATGTTCCGGTTTGTCATTTCTGTGAAATGTTTTGTCATTGAGGTGCCAAATATTGGCAAATTTACACAATTTTGTAAAATAAATACTTATTTAAAAAAACTTTTGATCAAGTCCTTCATCATTATTGTTTACATGCTGTCTTGTGTTGTATGTGGCATGGATTTGACCTTTGAAGCTATGATAGATCACTGACTCAAATTGAAGATAATTACTCTAAAACAGGGAACTGAGTGCCAACATCTTCTGTGAACAGTGTGTAACAAAAGCAGTCTGTTCAGTGTTGGAGGTTTTTAACTTGGTAAATAAAACACAAAAAGGAAAAGTGAAAGATAAATGAGTGAAACAAAGTTTTGATGGACGGGGAGACAGACTCAGGGGGGATAAACAGAACGTGTTGATGTGGAAGACGACGAGGCAAAGAGCAACAAAACCCGGCTAACGCTGCCCTCTCATCTCCGTGCCAAACACTGGCATTTCTGAATCAGCTGAGAGTGGAAAGCTTCTTTCAGTAGCTTAGATTTCCAGAACGTTGTTTATTTTCACCCCTTTAGATATCTCCCACCTTCACACTGCAGCTTCACTTACTTTTGCTGTGACTCAGCAAAATGAGGTCTTGCCTTGGTCTCGGACATTATCGCACATAAAGACCGTAATTTACAACCGCTGAACGTTTAACACCTTTAACCACTTTCTCCAGAGGCCTTTGCATCGGTTTGGTTCCAAGATGAAGCCAAACCTCCTTTCTAATTTGACTTTAGCTCATAAATCTACTTTCGTTCCAGTAAATCACTCATCAAGCACATTTGGCTGCCGTCAAAAAAGAAAACGCTGTGTCATAAAAATGCCAAACATCGCATGAATTAAGGCTCATGCATTTCTGAAGATAAGAAAATGTGTTTTAAGCAGCCCAAGATGGAGTAGTTTTTAAACCCAGGGATCATGCAATCCATAACTAAGACTTAACCAGTAAGTGCTGAATTAGAGAATAAGACTTGTTCCACCATCACACACATTTTTCAGATTAAAGAATGAATCCGATTGGTCCCCTCTATATCTCGAATGTAAATATGATGAAATGTAATACAAGTTGTTCTTGGGTTCGGTTCCAACATTGGCGCGCCTCACTCTCTCCCATCACTCATCATGGGCTGCTTGATCTGGCAGCGGAGAACAATTCAATGCAAATTGGTTGTAAAGTCTTATCTTTCCAGCCCATTTAGCAAACAAATCCATGGTGAATTCTGCGCCTTAGGCTTATTGAAAGAAACTCCCGTCGTGTCCTCTTGCGTGCAGAGTGCAATCATAATATTACTGATGTCATATTTTCCAGGCAAGACCTACTTTTGTTTGCAACACAATTGCAAAGACTTGCCCGCTGCAGGCGACAGGCAGGAGACAGTCAGATGATAATAGACAGAAGGGTTGGATGACAAGCAAGAAATGTGTTCAGCTGGACTCAATCCAACGAGAAAGGTAGAGTGCACAACACGCTGAGCCACCTCCTGTTAATGGAGGCAGACCTGCACTCTCCTGGGACGCAGAGGAAACGCTGTGTTGGAGATTCGTCTTAATGTACGACTAGTAACACTGACTAGTAAAAGTGATGTTTTTCTAATTTAAAAGTGGCTTAATTACAATATGTTCGTACATATCTCTCTCTCAGAGGCTTATGAATGAAATGCAAGATGTAATATTTGACATGCAACATGTTTCAGACCAGAAGCCATTAGTGAGTGAAGCTACATTCACACAGTACGCAATTTGCTCTTTGCTCAACATGTTTGCGCACAGAGCATTGCGGTGAAAAAAGCTAGTTCCCCTGCTAGCTTGCGCCGCTACATACAGCTGTCGGCTGATTGGTCGTAAGGTCAGTGGAAAAGAGATAAAAGTTGAAATAATTGAAACTTTGAGGTACTCTAAATGGCCTAGGATATAGACTTAAAACAACAGAAAAAATTCATTTCAGGTACAAATGATTGGTTAATCATAAATACAAATGTAGTGGACAAAGACGTGCAATATCTCCCTCAAACTTAGAATAGCATTTAATGGAAATATTAAAGGACAAGTACCTACAAATAGTAGCTACTGAACTAAGTATTTTGATTCTCTCCACCACTAACATTTTACTCTTCATGCACAACGCTGACTCCATAGCTTATCAGATCACCTTTATCATGTTTGCTTCTATGACTGGGCTTTTTTCTCTCATATCTTCAAAAGCATCCACGCCATAAGCCAGTCACGGCTTTATATATCTTCCAGTTCTGCAGAGGCATTGCTCTAAACCAGTGGTTCTCAACTGGTCAGGCCTCGGGACCCACTTTTTCCTTTGTCAATAAATCGCGACCCAACATTTTGAAGCACTCAAATCTATTCAACAAAAAAAATCGTGCTATAATATATATATACGCTTTTCAGCTTACAATATTAATGAAAGTGAAGTACAGTGCATATCCCTTATATCCCTTCACAGAACTAAAGTATGCTTTAAAAAAGGTTTAATGAGATGAAGGAATCAAAGCTGAACTATAAAAAAAGGCACACATTCTGAAAACCCAACCCCAGCAGGGGGGTCTGGGGGGATTCTCCCCCAGGAGATTTTTAGAAATACTAACAAACTACGCATTCTGGTACACTCTAAGAAGAAAATAAATAAATCTATTACTAGCCGACATTAATAATATTTTATGCCATTGTTTGTTTTTCACTTTGTTCTGACATCTTGCTGCGAGAAGAGTAAAGAGGAGATAGTCTGTGTGACTTACTTTAAATTGTGGGTAAGGGTAGATAGCCCCCATTGTTCTGTGACCTGTCAATCATCAAACCGGGGGTCATATTTCATTATGTGTTCATTTGTATCTGAAGTTGTACCCATGGATGTATAAAGAAGAGTTCAACCGCAAAGTTATTCTCCGTGGGGACTTCCGGCAACAATCTTTCTGATTGTCCAGAAGACTCGGAAAAACATCAGCAAAGATATTTTATTGAGAAGATTATCACTACGTGACAGAAGTATTTAAAACCGTTTATGGTCTCCGGTACTTCCAGTCCAACGCCGACTGCATGCACAGCGTTGGAAAATTGGGCCTTCAAAATAAAAGTTTGACTTTTTCCCCCCAAAAACAAAAACAATTCCAATTTTTTTTCTTTACATTTTTTTGTCTTCACTCACACATCCGCGACCCACTCGAAACGGGTCCGCGACCCACCAGTTGAGAACCACTGCTCTAAAGGACATGCCTTCATATTCCATCACACTGAAGAGGTTAACAGCATGCAGACGGCCCGGGATCAAACACAATGGCACTTACCCTCTAAACTATGCCGCTCTATGCAAGGAACTCCCCTGAGACATTAGCTTTTGGCATAAGTCATTAGTCTATTGAATAGAGCCAGCGCTATCATAATACCCCATTACACAGCGAGGACGCTCCTCGACACGACAGGAATCCTCCAGCTCAGCAGCAGAACAATAGCACTATGTGCCAGGAACATCTGGGTGGGGAGGAGTTGCCTCCAATTCTGACGTCTGACCAACGCCCGACTTTACCTCCAACACGCCCTGTTTTCCAAGCAACAATCCCAGCTGTGAGCGAGCATCTCGCAAAGGCAGCCCGACCAGAGGGGATTCATTACTGAGGCAGGTCAAGTCAAACTCAGGATTTGTCTGAAAGGGTCACCAGGAGTCATCTGCGTGACTGAGCACTGCGGGAAACCTGTCAGGGACGCTCGGTTGATGTTTTGGAAAATGTTAGTCTAGCTTTGCAAGAGAAAGTCAACACTGGCAACTTGAGTGACTCTCCTCTGTTGTTGAGAAGTGTGTCATCCTCTCACGCCCACATGTGATGACAGACCAAATTCAGAGGGTTTATTAATCTGCAGGTATCTCTCAGCACTCTGTCTGCTGTAATCTCGCTCTCAGTCCAACCCAACACAGTGTCTCCCTCCCTACCTGCCGAGATCAAAACAAATACTGAAATGCATTACAGCCAATATCCCTGAGATATTTAAAAAATGCTTGGCTGACATACAACAATGTCAGGATCAGTCTGCAGGTCTATGCTTCTGCTAAGGGGTGCATGGTTGGATATTAAAGAGGTCCTATTATGCTTTTTGAGGTGCTCTCTTTCCTGTAGTGTGTCTATAGGTTTTAGTGCATGTAAATGGTCTGCAAAGGGTAAAATCCCTGTGTTCTCCCACACACTCCACACTTCTTTAACTTCTGTAACATAGTGACATCACTATGTAACACTATCACTTCTATCGGCTAGCGCTCCAACACATTGTATTTGATAGGCTAGGCTAAGGGGCGTGACATCTCTAAGCAATTGACCAATCACACAGTGCCGGCTAGCTAACCAACCAGAGCAGACTGTAATCTGGTTTCAGACAGAGGGTGAAAAGAGGTGCTGCAGCACAGGCAGTATGAGAACAATAAAGAGCTTTCTGAACCTTAAAGCATGGAGACACGTCCCAGGAGAGACACTTAATACTAGGGATGCTCCGATCGCCACATTTTGGGGCCGATCGCCGGAAACAGTATCGGCCGATACCGATCACCGATCCGATCAAGTGGGCGGGGCCTATGGGGATCTTCCATTTAAAGTGATGTTTAAAACTCAGTTAATGGGGCTCATTCACTGGCGCTTCCACAAACAACAACCAACATAATTATTACATTCAAAGGAAGTACATTATTCAAGTTTACATTAACTTTGGATAATAACACGGGAGACATGAGTGGAAGCGCTCTCTTTTCCTCTCTCCCCCTCTCTCTCTCCTGACAGCCTGTCAGTGGGTGTTTCTCAATCTCGAGTAAAGCTGCTCCAGAGCCACTATTTCAAGCATACTACGTCATCGAGTGCCGCCGAAGTACTGTTCCAATGTCCAGCATACTTGGAATTCTACCGAGCCCGGCGTACTTCGTTTGGAGACATTTCGAGGCTGCACATGTGTAGACTCCGCAGTCTTAAAATCCCCACAATGCTTTGCGCACGGACCAATTTCCCCAAATCTGTGGCGGAAAATGTAAGGCGGGGCCTCTTATATGACGCACACCTGCACACTTGCTAGCCTGTTAGCCTGTTCCACTCTTT